CGGCCCCTTTTCCCCTAGCACATGCTGGGCGAATTCCAAAATAGCGATAGTCTAGTAACATCCTTCAGACCTCCAGGGGTCGCGGTTTCACCCATAACCGCTATGCCTTAGGTCTTTCACCGGTTTGTCGCTCAATTCATCTAGTCCCGGGTTTCTTCAGCCACCTCTAGATATCACTAACTGTCTCTCTTCACTAAGTTAAGAGTTCACATATCTTTTTAAGGGGTAACGGAACCCGTCGCACGTAGAGGTTAGGGGTCCCCCCTATCGGTATTGCAGGTTCCCGTGGTTTTTTGGATTTTGTACGTGAAAAGCAAAAAATCCCATAAAATATAAATAAATAGATATAAATAAATAATAATGGTATGGAAACATTCTACATCATCTTCTGTCTCGTAAAAGTACTTCCCTCTTACAATTGGTGCCCTGTAAAGGACATGTTACCTCCTGGATACCATCCAAAAGTACGTTTTTGTACTCAAAATCTGTCTTGGACCTCACTCGATCGCTCTCTTCTCATGAAAATAGCCATCGGCTAAGAAAAATCTACAAAAAATCGGTTTTTCTATCATGACTTGGCAGATTCCTATAAATAAAATGGCGTCGGCCTTGTCCTGGTCCTTGCTGTTAAATAATTTGCAATTTTTTTTTGCATAAAAAAGAAAAGCATGAGAAGAGAGCGATGCTTTCCGCTACTCTCAATACAGGGAAAAAGTTTCATTGATTCTCATTGCATAGAATCCAAGAAAACTTGTTTTTGATAAACGTCTTTGTGTGGTCGGTTCCGTTACCCCTTAGGGGATTTCAACCCGCAACGAGAAAATCTCGTTACAAATGATCTGGAATTGTGCACCAAATTGTTATTTTAAGCGATGAATATGTGGAAATATTACCACATTGCAATTCACCGGGGGGCAGATTCCCCTACTTATCCGGCTATACCCTTATTGAAAAACTCGAATTTCAGCAATCACGCTCTAATTTTTTTCCATTTTTATTTATTTTTCTCCATAAACTCTTTCCCTAAAAATATGTCTTTTTGCATTTTATTCTTCACTTTTTAGTTTCATATTTCACCATTTTTATTGAAAAGTACCTAAAATTTTCTACATGATATTGATTTTACAATTATGAATTATTCATCATATTTTATATATTGTGCAGAAGCGTAATGAGTGTTATTTACGGAATCTTTAATGAAAATTGTGAAATTTTGAATAAAAAAGGTAAAAATTAAATCATTTTTTTATGATTCATCAATTTTTTATCCATTCTGGAACGAAGAGAAATGTATTTAGCCGGCCTTTTAACGAAGCTAAAGGAAAGATTCAAATTTGGCACGTGGAGAAATTCAATCCAGATCAATAAAACGCGAATTAATATTAAAAATTAAATGAATAGAAAACTCAAGAATAGAAAGAAAAAAAGTGGTGCACGCTCGCACACGAATGGTACGAAATCTATGTCAATTTTCCAACGAGGTTTTCATATAATTTTCCCCGTACGATTCAATATAAAGTGCATGAAAATAACAATTTCAATGAGTGTCTTACTTTGTGCCGCGTTCTTGTTTGACCTAGCGTTCCATTTTACGTCGGTTTACCCTACAATCTTTTGATATATTCACTTGAAGTGATTCTACTTGTAATTATTCTCGACTTAATTCAATCTTACTCAGGTCAAGTAGACCCTAATAGAAATTTCATAACGCAAAAACATCGCGGGGTGAGTTGGCGCGCAACATTCAATGTTATAGGCATAGGCCCTTTTTGGCTCAATGTCGCAGAATTTCGATCAATTTCTATGGGAGGAAGCTCCGAATTGGATCAAGAAACTTTTGTTTTGGAGTACAAACATTTCATTTGTTCTATTTACTCTGATCATTGCAATTTTGATTTTGTTTCAACAATTCGAGTTTAACCTTTCGTTACTCGCGTCCACGGCATCGCGCCGGTGAAATTCTATTTTTTAGTATAACTTCCAAAAAAAATCGTTAAAAAATATGAAATAGTATATTTCGTTACGAGTGCGGAAAAGAGTTTTTAGACTCGCCTTAGGCTCGTGCTATAAACCTCCCACGAGCCAAAAAAACACTTTTCCCACGAGTATCGAATGGTATTTTTCATCACAATGTGTGGAAAAGGGACGTTTTAGGGATGGGACGTTAAAAAGTTGCTTTTTTGCACAGCGTGATGAAAAAAATTTTATACCTCACTGATTTTTTCTAAAAAGATATTCTGCTACTTCTAACCACGGCTACAGCCCCTGATTAGAGAAAAGTCATTCCTATGCTAACTGGAAATAAAAAATACGGTGTCGTGCCGCGACGCGACTGATCGTGTCATGGAAATATTTCACACGGACTTGCCACACTTGTGGCTGCCGGAAGATCAGCGAGTCCACTCTCCGAATGAAGTTAGTTAAGGTTTCTGGCTCCGGCTGTTTCGGACTGATGTCCAGTCTTCCGGCCGTTCTCCGAATGAATTGTGGCAACGGCGCGCTCAGATTTACATTATGGCGCAGCACCGCGATGCGAGTAACCACGTTGGGCAGTTTCACGCGAGTAACGAAGAGTTAAAAAAACTGATGCAAGTATGAGTATCAGTATCATACAGCCCAGTTAACGTAAAAGTATCGCGTCTCTTCAAGTTTTCAAAGTGTCGCTGTTTGTCTACTATTAGTAGGAATTTGATTGAAGTAGATTCCTCCAGAAGCGTACTATCAGCAGAATTTATCAAATTCAATGATTTCATGATTTCTTCGAGAGTATTAAGATACCTCTCCCATTTTTTTTAACGAACGAAAAAAGCCAACTGTCGTGTAATTGACCAAAAGCGGAGAAAAACGAGTAGTGGTACCGAAAAAATGTAGCAGATTTTGAAAGAACGATTTTTTAAAAATTGCTATATTTCAGAAACCGCTCAAACAATCATACTAAAATTAGTAAGAATTTGTGTTTAAATGGTATCAGCTGAGAGAGTAAAAAAATGCATTCTGGTCATATGAAATTGTTATCACAGTTCTGGACATACGCACACATACAGATATACAAATACGTATACATATATACAGATATTTTTAAAATATATAATTTTTTCATATTTTATGACATTTTAAGTCATAATCGGAATGAGAGAATCAAAAGGAATTACGAGAATAAAGCTGCATTCAGACGGACAAATGATTCGCATTCTACATTGTGTTCTTCTGATTTACACATGTGCAATTTGACATGTGTCAATTCAACATGTCTATTTCGAAAGTGTGTAATTCAGAGGTGTGTGATTCAGACGTGTGCAATTCGGACTATGATTAAAATCCTAACTAATCAACTGCTATCGATATAACGCCTCTTGACTCCCATATGAGCCTTCCAACCCCCACATATCATATGTACCCCAGGACCCTTCTATATCCCCAATGATTTCCATATCACCTTTATTGACTCCTATGAGCTTTATATAACCATATATGACCACTCGTGGCATCCATAAAACCTTTATATGCCTCATTTATGGCCTCTGTATGATCCCTACATAATCTCCCCATGATATGCCCATATCCCCCATATAACCCCACCATGACCCTCATATGCCTATGCAATCCTCATGTAACCCTCATAAAACCCCCATATGACCTCCATATTATTCATATCTCCTCTATTGAACTCATTCCTCAATATTAATTAAAAACGCTCTTTCAAAATATTCAGAATTTCTTTTATATGTTTTAAAATATAAATTCAGAATTTGCGGGTGTCCTTGAGTGACGGGGCTACGAGTTGAAATTTCGAGATAAAAATGGAACAAAAAAATCAATTCAGATACCGTTCCACAGATAATGGAGCCGGCCCTGAAATCCGAAACATTGTAGTGGTGACAGGAAACTTCATGCCAAATTTTAGTTGATATGTTGATTTTTTAAAACGGAGAGTGGGTAAAAGGATTCTAAGTGTAAAACTGAAAAGGCGAAATATCTCAAAAAATTTGAATGAACAGGTATACATATTTTAATTGATTGAAATAGAAAGCATCTAGACGACTATGAAAAAAAAAATCAAATCAGTTGGGTACTTTCCGAGATATTTGCGAAAAGCGATGTACAAACAAATGGCGATTTCTCAAAAAAGGCTGGGTCGATTGAGCTGAACTTGAGTACATAGTTAGTCCTCATTAATACTTATAATCTGACAAAATTACAGATTTTTTTGAATTATTTTAGTCCTCTATTCCTTGGATTTTCTAAAAGTTGACCATCCGCACATACGCAAATGATCATCAAAATTCGTATTTTTTACGTTTCAGACCATTCTACACCATTTCCAAGCAAAATTAGAGAATCTAAAAATTGACGGATTTCAATGCTTCCATTCGGAAGCAACAACTATTGGATAGGCCTATGAGAGAAATTCTCATTTCGTTTTATTTAAGAAAGCAGATTCTTCAGAATCCCTATGATGACGAATGAATAATCTAATATGAATTTTGCCAAAGGAATTCCCTCAACAGAGATCCCTGCAGGAATTTCAGTCTCCTATGGAAAAGTTTCATGAAAGTTTCTACACAGTCGTCAAGGAAAACGTAACATACGTATACGTGTAAACCTCCCCTCTGCACGTCTTATAGGAATTCCTATACGACAATCCTCTAGAAGTGGAAAGTTTAAAACTTGAATGCATTGAGTGTTGAAATCCCACTTAATCAATCAAAAAATCTATTATGATTTGAAAAGCAATGCGACGATTAATTAAATAGAAAATTTTATTATAATTATACTGGGTAACAACCAAATTCCTAAGTTAATTAAGTCAGTTTTCAATAATTGTAGAGAGTTCAGGGAAGAAATATTTCTCTTTTAATGAGTCGACGATTAGATTGGCAATCTGAAATGGACTGATGCCAGAAGGCATGCCCGATTTTAGCAATAGAGAATCGTTATTTGGCATTTGATCGATAAAACCATTTTACGTAGAAAATTTACAAAATTGATGAATGATTTACCTCAACTGCGTTTATACGAATAGCCTCCTTCGTAATCTTCAGCGCCTCTTCAACGAGTCCAGCCTTCTGTGCAATGGAAGCGATACTAACCAGCGGAACATCTTTAAACCGTTTAGGCACAGTATTCAAAGCTAACTGAAGACAGTCGAGTGCATTTCGTGACTTTCCAACTACTCGCCAGTGTAGAGATGCCAATACCGAGAGTACCCAAGGTGCTGCAACCTTTGATTTCGTTGCAGTCAAAATCCTCTGCCCAATCTCTGCAATTTCTGCCTCCTTCACTAAACTCAATAAAGGTTCTCTGAGACTAGAATCGGGTGAATTACTCCCCAGCGTTGCTTTCAGCAATGATTGAGAAATAAATTTTTGGTCGTAAGTCTCGGGGGACTGACAAGTCGGTGGATACCAAGGTAAATCATGCCCCTTCCCTGCACCAATGCCAATCAGTTCATTAACAAATAGTTGAATGGCATATCCTTTATACTCTGGTGATAAATAAATTGGTATGTATTGTGTTGTATCACTCAGCAACAGTTCCTGCCTGTCGCATTCGCCCGAAGTCGGCCAATTTTGACCCTCAAAATCAGCGCTACTCTTCTCAATTTCAAGATTATGGTACTTTGGTTTATTAGTTGGTTCCATAAATACAGAAAAAAATTCAGGGTTCCTCTCGTTACTACTATCCTTCGTTTTACCTGGGCGATCAGTCGTTGAATGCATAACTTTTGTACTCGTCATTCGATCATTCATCTTTTCCACTTGATTTTCGACATTCTTCAGTTGCTCCAGACTGACATCAATGTCAATCTGTAAGTTGTGAGCAAAGATTTGATTGTCTGTCACACTTTGACAGGATAGTGTTGCATCGTCACCATCTCGGTGCGTGCATACTTGTCCGCGTGATGATAACATTGGACATAAACGCTGAGCACGAAGAGCTAGAAATGGAGATGTCATTCTTTCACATAGGATTTTTTCTTCTAGCTTCAGACATTCGGCATCGTCATTCTGTTGGGCGTGTAGTTCCTCTACAATATCATCTAGTTGCCTGCAAAGGATCAATATTCTGTTAGAATCAACAATTTACTTCAGTTTAATTCATGCTAGCCTGTGTTATTACTTATATAGTTTTATTTTGTATTTTTGTATTTACATTCCATGGTTTCACTGTAATAGCGCTTTATTATATATTTTTTTCTATTGGCTCTGTTAGGCATGTGCTTAGAATCATTCAATAATGATTTAGATTGAATGAAGTTGGATTAGGTTGGTTGGTTGGTTGGTTGGTTGGTTTAATTGTTCATTTAATTTTGTAAATTCAATTTAGAAGAGATTTTTCCTATTTGCACTTCAAAAATAGATTTCAATGCAAGATTGATGTAGAATTGTGATAGTTTTATTTGAAACTTTAATCATCAACTTATTATTATTATTTCTTCTTTATTCTTTGATCAATGAAACATTGCACAAATATCGCATTTTCAATTATTATGAAATGTCCAATGAATGAATTGCAATTCGATTACCATAACCCATGAAATTAGATTCAAATTAGTTTGTTAAATGGTAATCGTAATGATTCTGATTTTTGAAGAGGGTATTCTCCATCAATACGCATAAGAAATATCAGATGTCATCCAGTTCAAGGTATGTTTAATGAAAAATTTATCCCACTCACTTCTGTAAAGCTCCCAAGGATTTTCCTAAGCTCTGGCAGCACAATATAACGAATTTAGCCTGTTTTGCCTGTTCCATACTCGGCGTTAGTTTCAATGAATTATCATAACAAGCAATAGATCGATTGTAATCACCCAAAATAGCATAAACATGACCAAGGGCTAAATGCTGATGACTCTGCGTTGGTGCATAGTCTATCGCTGCGTGAAGAACAATTGCAGCCTCAGCTGAATGTTTTGCTGCGTGAAGAATGCCTCCAGTTGTCAGCAAAGGGATGTCTCGGAATTCTCTGACAAAAGACAATGAATCAATTGTTATCATCAAAACTGTCGTCATTGAAACTTTTTGAACGGTGTCTTATAAAAATAGGGATTTTTCGTTTCGAGCAGGGTTTTCGTGATATTTGTCGTTTTTTCGCTCCAAATCCGTGTTAGCACTCTAATTTTTGGAAAAAATCGACATATCAACTTGAAATTTGACCTAGTTTTCACTTAGTACTACAACTACTAACTGAAACAACTGGTACTGTTTCGTATTGAAGATGGGCCGAATAGGCTGGTTAGTTCAGGAGATATTCAAGTTTATATCCAAATTTATTTTCTTGAATGTCTCAAAAACTACTCAACTGATTTCATTTTCTTTCTCAAAATAGTCGTCTCGATGTTAGTTATTTCAAATCAATCAAAATGTTTATTTTTTTAGCTATTTCGATGTGGCTACAGCGTTTTGCTTGCACCATTACTGAGTCAGGAAGCTCGCCGTGGTTCTCAGCAACCACTGACTGATAATGACAATGGCGTAACACGTCAGGTAAAAAAGTCGCTGTCAAGAAGCATGGGCTCCTTACTGTCACAGTAAGCAGGCCAAGAAAAGCCAAGAAAAAAACATTGAAACATTGAAACACTCAGTAAAATGCTCATTGTCTAAATTGTACAGTGATTTTTCAGGTGATTTTTTCTTCCATATGTTATGATTCTTTCTGAACACACGATCAATTCTGTAATGCACCTATAGACGAATTGAAAAATTGGATACGATTTGTTAAATATTTCCAGGGAACTTATTCACAAGACAAAAATCATAATCGCTCCTTCGAAACCTCTGCCTTTTAACCATATTCACGAAATAATTTGCAGCTCTATTTCAGAGCTACTTTTCAACAACTGCTGAATGAAAATGAAAGAAAAAAATAAATAAATGAAAATAAATAAAATTCTTCAAAAGCTCGAGCAATAATTTCAAAGTTGCTCTCCTAAACTTTTCGAATAATACAAAATTCTTTACATTTACCCAACATTATTCTCAACATTAATATTTATGAATAATAATAATTTAATAATTATTATCAACATTATTATTTCTGAATAATTACCTCGGAGCCGTAACAATAGATCGACGAGCACATTCCAATGCGTTGTAAGCATCTCCTCTCACTCTCCAATAAATAGCAGCAAGATTGAGATGCAACCATGACGTACTATTCCTTAACAATCCATGGGCAATCTGATGGCCAAATTTATTCAAATCTGTACCCTCTGGTAGATATTTAATTAATCCTTTCTCCTGATGCTGCGACAAATTCTTTCTATTCCTCATTGCATTCAAATGATCAAAAGTATACATGCTAAAGTCAAGGGGAAAAGTCTTCTTGCAGTCTGGTATTCTCTTCTTCTCCTCGTTAGGTATTCCATGGAGCAAATAATCTTTGTGAGTTACTCCTTTCCTATAGCTTCCATCGGTGGCTACACTAGCGTAGAAATCAAAATCTTCCAGCAATTTTCTGCTGGATATACAGTCAGGATTCGAAGCTTGTAACCAGGATTCAAGATCTCCTATCGAGTTTAACACAGTCATTTGACTATCTAGGAATTCTTTTCTTGCTAAGATTTTTTGATGCAGGGCCTTCACTGCATTAATTCGGTTTTCTTGCTCTAAAAATGCTGGGAGGTCGTAGGGCCTTCTCATATTATATACAGAGTCGGGCTGAAATAAATTAGTTTTTAAAGACTTTTAACTATGTTTATCAGTTAATTTTTTGAATGAAATTCTCACTTGTGGTTGTATCCTCCCGTTCTCAGTGACCACCCAGTCAGTGGTTGCTGATATACCCAGAATCAGTTCGAAAAACATGAGAAATATTCGGTAGGATCCTAATTTCGCCATCGTATCTGGTTTTCTTTTTTCAGTCGCACTTTTCGATGACCTTTCAGTTATCGAGTGTTGAAGGTGATAAAGCACTCATCACGCATTTTTTAAATTAATTATTGTGAATGAAGTGTTTATAGAACACATGACATTTCGTAAAGCGAACAGTGATATTGTTAACATTCGATTGACTGAATAATGGCTCATTCGAGGTTATTTCCTAGTTTACCACCACTGAAACCAATGGTAGCCAATTCGATGGCTTGGTAGGAATCTCTGGGCTTTCCATTGGTTAGTTGGAAAAGAGCGCGGATTTATTTCAATGTTGAGGGAATATGTCAGTGAAATTTGTCTTCACTGGGCCTTAGGACCCATTGAACAGTTTGTGATATATGACAGAATATGGGAATAATTAGGGAAAATCACGGACCCGATTGATTTTGCCCCGTATAACCAAGAAAAATTATATTTTTTGCTGTTTTTACCTTCAAAATGCTCCGTGCGCCGTAGTTTTCATACGGTTTTAGCTTTTTTTTGTTTTAAATGTTCATTACATTGCAAAGAATAAAGTTAAGCTTCCATTTTACTTTATTTGAAATAGATCATCAATAACTGAATGTTGAATTTCATAAATTTTTCGTGTTTCTAGAGTAGATTAAAATTTATGAAATTCAAAATTCAGTTATTGATGATCTATTCCAAATAAAGTAAAATGGAAGCTCAACTTTATTCTTTGCAATGTAACGAACATTTAAAACCAAAAAAATCTAAAATCTTATGAAAACTACGGCGCACGGAGCATTTTGAAGGTAAAAACAGGAAAAAATGAAGTTTTTCGTGGTTATACGGGCCAAAATCAAATCGATTAGGTCCGCCATTTTCCCTAGTTATTCCCATATTCCGTAAATAGTGAAAACTTTTAAATTTCACCGACGTATCCCCTTAAGTGAGATGATTAAATTCAGCATCTTCGTCAAATCATGTATTTTTATGACCAAAAAAAAAATATTTTCCAACATTCACGTAGAAAAGTTTCTCGCATTGATTATCTCACTAATCATCATATTGATAGGTGACATAGAAAATTAAGAGATATTGAAGAAATGATGATTACAGTGATCGGAAAGTCATAAGGGCAACGTTTCGTAGCGTATGTCAACTTCTGAAAAACAAAAAATTACACATTAACAGTATTATCCCTTTTGTTGAGAATTGTTAATAATCTAAAACTAGTGCTGAACAGAATCGGGATAGTAATAGTTCTTCAAATTTCATTGCTTATGCATTACTATACAATTTTTGAATTTTTCATTCTTCTCCTCATTTTCAATCCGGCTTCCATTCAAATCAGCTATTTTTCACTTTATTGGAGGTTTTGATTCTAATTGCGCATTTTTGCTTGAAGGAACGCTTTCTAAACGTGATTTTTTTCTGTTCTTAAATTTTAGCTCGAAATGACTCAGAATTACATCAATAAGTCGAGAACAACAGTTATTATATCACAAAACAAGCAGAGGACAACGAGGATATGACAGCGCGTCATGTGACAGTAAACTTGTCACAGAATGATGTCTTATTTTTTTTCGCCATCAATACATTGATGACGGGCTTTCGAATGAACTGAAATATTACAAAAAGTTATAGTTTCACAACATTAACTAGCAGCAAAAATTTCGGATGGTTACTGCCACCTTCATGGGTACTAATAAAATTTCAATGTTTCAAATACTTCGTAAGAGCGGGTAGAAAAGTGATTTTTTCAATTCAGTTGCAGTCCAATTCAGGAAAAATTATTTTTTGAGTTAATAATTGATTATGATTGAATCATTTGTAAAAAAAAGTCATGGTCTCCGAAAATTGCAATTTTTCAATAATTTCATTAGTCTACTTCGAAAAGTTGACTTCCAATTTTTTTCCATATTTTTTCAATATTCTTTCATAATTATAAGTAAGTAGCAGTTATACTGTTGAAAAAAACAATTAAAATTTTAAGGACAGTTTAATAGTAAATTTTAGGAGTTTGAGAGGGAAAAGTCATGAAGTGTAAAATTCCACTGAAAATTTACTGCAATTCAACATTTTTTAACAGCATGAAGATGAAAACTTTCAAATTACTTGAATTCTCATTCAACATATGAACATTCTGTACTTAATTACTCGATAGTTTCAGATGCTGAAGCAATTATAATTGTCCAAATCGAAAATAGAATTATTTAACTTTCTGAATGTTGTGTTCAGTAAGTTTTTCTCGAGAGTTGATTAGAATCAGTAGCTAGAATTATGCGATTATAGAATTTGAATGCGAAACAATGAAAACTATGATCAATTTTTTCACTTTGAAAAAAAATCCAAATTTAAACATTGTAGAGAACAAGAATAACGATATTTGTGTCATATACTGTGAATTATTAAGATGAATTTCAGATTAACGAAAAAGGATGGTGCAGAAGTCACACTGTCATTTCAAGTTTTTATTCTCAATTTTGTGCTGGAAACATGAGATGATATTCAGAGGATAACCAGTTTTTTCTGGATGTAAGATGATACGACAGTTTTTCGGAGAATTCAAAATAATTATGAGGGTATCTCTTAAATATTAGAGAATTTTTGAATAGACAATGCGAGAACAATTAATAGGAAAAGGTGGAATTTTCAAAATAAAACTGATGTGAAAGAGTTACAAGCTCGAACATAATTTGAAAAATTCGAAAAATTTATCGAATTTTCTCAACAGTTTCACAAACATTCAAAAATAAATTCACAAAATTTCGGAATTTTATGGAGAATTTGAAAAAATTTCAGATGATTCATGATTCAAGTTTCAAGTCCTATAATATCTAATAAAAATGTAAGAAAAATCATGAATGGCGAGAAATACTCCGAATTAGCCAAAGAGCATCAGAATCGGCCTTATAATTTTTCCAGAAAAATAGTTGACTGCTGTTGTAAAGGTGTCAAGGAGAGTCAAGGCAGCGGCGAAGACTAAAAAATTCTGAGTTGTGAGAAATTCAATAATTATTGTTTTGTAGTCTTAATCGAATTTTGACTATAATTATAGTTAGAACCTCATTCAAGGAGCACAGAAATTCAGAATTAGTAAATCACTTATTGAAATATTGACATTGAACAGGCGATCAACCGATAAGCATTATTTTCATGAATATTAACACTCAGTATAATAAGACGATGATGAATCATTCATTTTTGACAGAAACAAGGAAAAAAATGAAAAAAGATATAAGGAAAGGACATCAGTGTCGCGGCCACGGTGGCGGGAGCGAATATGAAAAAGGAATCTTTCAGTTTGACTGAGATAACAATGCAAAGCCAAAACTGTTAAAAGTCTTAACTTAAGACCAGGAAGATTAAGATTTTAGGAAATTCGTGACGATGTGTTTCAACTTTACAAAATCCACTTCAAATAGGACGGATAGGGGATGAATTATAGGAACCTTCAGGAAGTTTACAAGTTCCCTCAAAAATCAGAAAATTGTCGGTTCTTTCCGAATGTAAGATGATTCGAGCTTCCAGAGAATTTAAAACAATTATGAGTTTCTGAAAAAAATCAAAAAAATCCACGAGTTTTTCGGAAATTAGAACAAATTTTCAGTAGCTCTCAAATATTAGTTTTTGAATAAACCATGGGAGAATAATTGATAGGAAAAGGCGGAATCTACCAAATAAAACTGATGTGAAGGAGTCACGCGACCCCAACTACTGTACTCTGATTGATTTAAATGGGAAAGAAGAACATAATTTGAAAAATCAGAGAACATAGTTTCACCAAAATTTCCACGTTTTCCAAGCAAAATTCACAAGAATTTCGGGATTTCATAGAGAATTTGAAAAAATCTTAGATGATTCATCAAAGTTTCAAGTTCATGGCATCGTTGAATAAAGTTGTGTAAAAGATTATGAATGAGGAGAAAATACTTTGAATTAGCGAACGAGCATCAGAATCAGAGATTATAGGGGAGATGAGCAGAGATTATATGGGAGATCTCCAACGCCTATGCAAGGGCTTCGACCAAGTTTTTTCGTAGCGGCGACCCATGAACTACGCGGAGTAATACATGGAGTTCCATGTATGCTTCCATATGTATGCTTACATGTATGTTGATTTGAGGTAAAAAAGGTCTAAAATCACTGAAATAGGTTTCCAAAAATAATTAAAAAAATAAAGATGAGTAATTTGTTGCAATTCAACCCCTTTAGTTGGTTAATTGCAATAAATACGAAAAAATTATTGATAGCGTGAGAAGGCTCGATGGGGGAATGCCATGGGATGGCGGCAGTGTCAACTTCTAGACTGGGTCGGTCAAGTCGGCAGCGTTTGGCGGGAGAATGTTGCTGAATTTGAAATGTTATAATTTGAAATGTTATAACCAGGGCTCGGAACTTCGCCTGATTACGATTGTCAATAATAATTGAATGATTGTTGATAACAATGATAATCACATGAAGTTCGGGGTCGTGGTAATAAAATAAATACTAATATTTCGGATTTTCACTATGACTCTTATCTATGACCGTCATTATGATCATTATTCTTTACCCTCATCTTGACCCTTACTTTTGACCCTCATTATCACCCATATTTTTAATCCTCATTTCTGACCCTTATTTTTGACACTCATTCTGACCCGTATTTTTTACCCTCTGATCATTATTTGTGACCCTTATTATAAACCTTATTTTTTAGCTTCACACTGATAACTATTTTTAACCCTCATTCTGACTAGTATTTTTGACCCTCATTATGAACCTTATTTTTGACCCTTACCCTGACTAATATTTTTGACTGTCACCCTGACCATTATTTTTTAGACTCATCCTGACCCTTATTTTTGACCCTCATTATGAACCTTATTTTTGACCCTTACCCTGACTAATATTTTTGACTGTCACCCTGACCATTATTTTTTAGACTCATCCTGACCCTTATTTTTGACCCTCATTATGAACCTTATTTTTGACCCTTACCCTGACTAATATTTTTGACTGTCACCCTGACCATTATTTTTTAGACTCATCCTGACCCTTATTTTTGACCCTCGTTCGGACCCTTATCTTTGACCCCCATTATGAGGCTTATTTTGGACCCTCACTCAGACTAGTATTTTTGACCCTCATTATGACCCATATTTTTAACCCTCATTTTTGACGTTTATTTTTTACCCTCACTCTGACTATTATTTGTGACCCTTATTATAAACCTTATTTTTGAGCCTCACACTGACAACTATTTTTGACCCTCATTCTAATTAGTATTTTTGACCCAAATTCTGACTATTATGTTTGACCCTCATTGCAAACCTTATTATGAGCCTTATTTTTAACCCTCATTTTTGACGTTTATTTTTTACCCTCACTCTGACTATTATTTGTGACCCTTATTATAAACCTTATTTTTGAGCCTCACACTGACAACTATTTTTGACCCTCATTCTAATTAGTATTTTTGACCCAAATTCTGACTATTATGTTTGACCCTCATTGCAAACCTTATTATGAGCCTTATTTTTAACCCTCTCTCTGACCCTTATTTTTTACCCCCATCCTGATCCTTATTTTTTACACTCATCCTGACCCTTACTGTGAACCTTATTTTTGACCCTCATTCTGATCTTTATTTTTGACCCTCATTCTGAACTTTATTTCTGACCCTTATTTTTGACCCTCATTCTGATCTTTATTTTTGACCCTCATTCTGAACTTTATTTCTGACCCTTATTTTTGACCCTCATTCTGATCTTTATTTTTGACCCTCATTCTGAACTTTATTTCTGACCCTTATTTTTGACCCTCATTCTGATCTTTATTTTTGACCCTCATTCTGAACTTTATTTCTGACCCTTATTTTTGACCCTCATTCTGATCTTTATTTTTGACCCTCATTCTGAACTTTATTTCTGACCCTTATTTTTGACCCTCATTCTGATCTTTATTTTTGACCCTCATTCTGAACTTTATTTCTGACCCTTATTTTTGACCCTCATTCTGATCTTTATTTTTGACCCTCATTCTGAACTTTATTTCTGACCCTTATTTTTGACCCTCATTCTGACCAGTATTTTTGAGCCTCATTATGAGAATAATTTTTGACCCAAATTCTGACTACTATCTTTGACCCTCATTATGAACCTTATTTTTGACCCTCAT